GACTACATGTTCGTTGAGGCCAACCTGCACACCTTCTCCGATGACGACCTCGAGAAGCTGGTTGCCTCCTCGGCCATCGGCCTCGAGCAGTGGCAGCAGTACCGTCTCCATCTGCAGCGGATGCGAGGCGTTGGCGATGAAGATAACCTTTCCGACCTGGGCAGTGAGGTTGCCGACAATGACATGGAGCCCCAGGATCGCGACAGGTACCGTGACCTCAAGAGGCGTGCGGTGGAGCAGGGACTGGACGTGCAGGCGGCCCAGGAGTATACCGACCTCCTCTCCAAGCGCATCATGGCGAAGGCGGGCAAGCGTGCCAGAGTGGTGTCCTCCGTCACGGCCGACATGTACCGCAATTTCTGCGATGCCACGGCCAAGCAGATGGGGGTTCCTCGTGCGGCCGCAGCCGTACCACCTGGACATCTCCCTGATGCTGCTCCCGCTGCGAAAGGCGCTGGGCGTGCTGCCGCCTCTGACGCCCGCTCGCAGCAGCCTCTTTAATGATCTGTTGCCTTCGGCCCAGCGAGCCGAAGGCACATGCTCGCTAGCACCTTGTCAGTTGCCAGCTGCGAGCACTCAGGTCAAGTTTAAGTTTGTGAATATCACACAGTGGTCCAAGCTGACTCAGGACTTCTTGGCAACTAAGGTCGCTGAGGTGGATGGAGTGTTCATGGCGGAACATCACCTTGAAGGGACGAACCTGTTCCGTGCCAAGAAGACCTGTCGGCAGATGAAGTGGAATCCTCATTTCCAGAGTGCTTTACCGTCCCCAGGTGGAGGCACTCATGGAGGAGTCGGGGCTGCTGTACAGCCCAGGTTGTGCATACGGAAGTTCCTGATTCAAGCTAAGGGTGCAGTCCAGGTTGGAGCAGGAAATTGTTGGTTCTTCCTTGAGATGCGTATGAAGTCATGCACTGTTGCAGTAGGTGTGATCTACCTCATTCCTTCCATTGGAATCTCTGGTGAGAATTCGTCTCGGCTTCGTGCAGTTGCAGAGTTTGTCCGTGGGCTGTCTATCCCGTGGTTCCTGATGGGGGACTACAACATGTCTGCCGATTTCCTGGAGGATTCGGGTATCTTGGAGCTGATGGACGCTAGGGCCCTGGTTCCCAAAAACGTTGAGTTCACCTGTTCGGTTGGTGAGACCTTGATTGACTATGTTGTCTGTTCGAATCGGTTGTCTGGATATCTGCGAGTCTCCGCCGACATCCTGTCCCCGTTCAAGACCCATGCGTGCCTGGACGTGCTGTTGGATCTTGAGGCTATGGTGGAACCCGTCTGTCTCCGTGTGAAGCCCCTGGAGATCCCTGAAGCGTATGGACCTGATAACCATTGGTTGAGTTACATGGCTGCCGCCGCTCCCAGTTTCCTGGAGGCCCCCTTGGTGATGCCCGAGGACCTCCACCAGGCGATGCCTGCTCATACTTTGGAAGGTTTGTCTCGGAGTCTTGGTATACAGTACTCTATCTGGTCTAGAGCAATGGAGCTCCGTGGTCTGTCTCGTGCATGTGCCATTGTCACCGACCCGCACCGTTACTTAGGCAGAGGTTGTATGCTGAAGCGTAAGGACTCGTCCCTGATGACCCGCAACGTGCAGGCGCAGAGTTTCAAGAACCCTGATTTGTCATATTGGTCTCTTGTTTCCAGTCGCCTGTATGAGTTGATGAAGCTGACTCGAAAAGATCCGTATTCTCAGGCCGCGATGCAGCACAGGCGCGTCTTGGCTGATTTGTCGTGCCACATTTTTTCTCACATCGAGCCTCTTGCGAGTTCTCAAGCTGCTGTGTCGTGGAAGGATTCCCTGAACCAACCACCCTACGTGTGTCATAGTTGGAAGAACTCGTTGAGGCTGCAGGTGTTGTGTGTACTCGTGCATGGTCTCTTGCACATGCCAAGGCCAGGGGCAGCATGCGCACTTGGTTGCAGTCATCCCTTCCCAGAGGTGCTAGCCCCGTCCACCGCTATTTGAAAGCTGAAGAGAAAGTTTGCGTTGAGTATTTCTTGACTCCTGAGGGTATCGTGGACACCCCTACCTTGATGATGAGCTTTCGGGAACGGAAGTGGAGTAAATGGTGGACCCCAAACTCTGAACAGCGTGTGTGTCTGGAGGCAGGCCTTCGTGAGCTTCGTTCGCAAGCATTGGTCGTTCTGCAAGATTTGGACCCGCTTGAAGTGCATGACATTGCTAAGGCCTGTACATGTTTCAAGCCACACACGTCGCTAGGCGTCGACATGCTGGCGCCACGCAGTTTGCTCTCCGCTCCCATCGACTCCCTCGAGGTGTTCACAGGTATCATGCGTCAAGTTGAGCAAACTTTGAGCTTTCCTCCTCAGTGCTATGTCTGCCTCATGGCCATGCTGCCTAAGTCGATTTGTGATGAGCGTGCCATTGTCAAGTGCCCCAGTCTTTACCGAATCTACTGCAAAGCCCGCGGCTTTGATATCGATGATTGGAATAAAGAGCATCTGGATTTCTGGGACTCTGCTGTCAAAGGGTCCTCTGCTCTTAAGGCTGCTTTATTTCGTGAACTGGCCCATGAAGTGGCCCGTGCATGTGGGTTCGAATCTTGTGCGCTCCATTGGGACCTCGAGAAGTTCTTTGACTCCGTGAGCCCCTGCAAGCTCCTCCACTTTGCCACCAACCGTGGGTACCCTGGGCACCTCCTGTATTTGGGGCTCCTCATCCACACTGCTCCGAGGCTGTTGGAGGTTTCTGGCAACCTTTCTCGGGTTATTGAGGCTGGGGAGTCTATCCTGGCGGGTTGTAGTCAGAGTATGCCGTGGGTGAAGTGCTACTTGTATGGGGTACTGGAGAAGGCCCATAGCAGGGTTCCACAGGGCCTTGGTGATCTCCCACAGGTCCGTGTTCCCATTAGGTCTTATGTTGACGACATCACCCAGTACTTGCAGGGTACTCGAGAGTTTATTTGTCGTTATTTGCCGCCTGCGGCGGCGGCTTTCCAGCATGATATATCAGGTCTTGGCTGTGTGGTCAGCCCCAAGTCTCTTGCAGTGGCCTCGTCTGTGGAGTTGCAGCGACTCCTTCAAGAAGAGTTTAAGAAGCATGGAGTTTCCATCACTTTCTCGCCCAGTGTGAAAGACCTGGGCACAGTCACCTCAGCTGGCCGAAGGCGCACTGCGTGGAAAACATATGAGAGACGTGCTATCGCATTCCGACGTGGTCGTAAGCTGTCCTACCTTGCAAGGTTGTGTGGAGCTTCGCGTAAGGTCTTCAAGCCTGGCATCCTCTCGTGGGCTCTTGGGGGCATGCTATGTCAGGACTTCCACCTGGAGTATTGAAGCAGTTTAGAGGCTCCGCGGCTTCCTGTTCGGGATTCTGGTCGTCGGGGGCATGTACTACCAGCGTATTGCGAGTATTGCATGATACTAAGGATGACCCTGTCTATAGGCTACGTGTTGAACAACTTACCCTAATCTCTGAAGTGTGGTCATCCTTGTCTGAAGGTTTGCGCAGTGGAGCTCGAAAGGTCTGGTCTCAATTGCATGCGACAGTGGGCCGTGCTCGTGCTTCTGACCGTTGGCGGTTCGTTCGCGGTCCCATCGCTGCCTTGTATGCTACTGTCTTGGACCTAGGATGGCAACCCTCCCATATCGATGAGTGGATAGTGGAAGGCAGAGCTCCCCTAAGAATGGATCGTATTGATTTTCGGTATCATGTCACCTCCTGTGTCCGAGAGAGTTGCTCTGCCGCAATTTGGTCTGCCGCTAGTCAGCATTGGTGTGGGCAAGGTCTCTCGTCTGGTGCTGACTTCTCTGTTTTTCGTTCCAAGCACAAGAAGCTGCTGGATGAAGGTGATTTCAAGAATGCTGCACTCTTGACCACCATTGTCGTTGGAGGATGCTGGCCTGAAAGTCGGCTACAAGACGCTGGCTACCGTACAACAGGCCGGTGCTTCCGATGTGGAGATGATATAGAAACTCCGTTGCATCGGGCTTGGCATTGCCCGTGCAATTCGTACCTACCTGACCCTGCCGTTGCTGCCAGTGAATATTTGGTTCCTGAGGCTCTTGGGGCTGACCCTCAGAGTGCCTTCTTCACTCGTGGGCTTCCTAGCTGGGACGCTACCTGTGGTCATCTGCCGTCCCCGAAGGAGCTCCTGTGGGCCTGGGGTCCCCTACGAGTCCAGCATCGTGTTCTTGGTGGTATTTGGGGCCTTGATGGCTCTGGAGGTGTATACGCCAAGGATAAGAGGCTACGACGTTGTGCTTGGTCTATTGTGTGTTTGGGTGATCCTGATGGGCTATCTTTGCAGTTATCTACGGTCCTCTGTGGTACCTTACCTACTCCTGAACAATCCAGTCCGAGGTCTGAGTTGTATGCCTTCCTGACTGTCCTTCTGCGAACGAGTGGTGATATTGTCTGTTATTCTGATTACTTGCCCCTGGTCAAAGGGGTCAGGCAGCCACGGGCTCAGGTGATGGCGAACAGCTCGATGCTCGATCTCTGGGCTCTGATCTGGAATGCGATCGACGATCGGGGCCCTGGTCAGGTCGAAGTCATCTGGACCAAGAGCCACGCCTCGGCCCAACAGAGGGCCCATTATTCAATCGGTGAGGTTGAGTATTTTTTGAACTTTTGTGCTGATTTCTTCGCGGGCTGGGCGGCCCAAAGGGCTGCCCCCACTGATGAGCAAGTTGAAACTACTAGGTTTGTTGATCGTATAACTAGTCACACTCTGGACCGCCTGCTGGCGGTCCATAAGGAGGTTGTTTCGGAGAACCCTCGGCGTGTCTCGGACAGGCTCGGACGCCCCCCCCCAAGGCCTGCACCCTTGCCGTCCTTTCTGGTGCGCAAAGGCCGTCTGAGGGCGGCGGGCCACGAGCCGACGCGCCGAGGGTCTTGCCTCCAGTGTCAGATTTGCTCGCGTAAGTTCTTGTTGAGGGGGAAGGTCCAAGACTTTTTCCCTGGCCCGTGTGCGGGGCCTTCCCACCTCTCCTCTGACCCTCTGGCCCACCCTTTGTACCCCAGGTGTGCCAGGAGTCATCGATTGCAAGTTTTGAGAGGAGTTCTTTACTGTTTGCATTGTGGCGCTCATGCGACGGTGAATGCGCAGAGTTTGTCTAAGCCCTGCAAGACGGACAGCCCCCCCTCCAAAGCAGGGAAAGAGGTTCTGTCACGGCTGTCCAGGGGATTGCCCCCCAAGAGCGGAGGTAAGTTCCCGCATGTCTGATTTTGCGGGGGGCGCGGTGCGAGTGGGGACTGCCCGGCGTTGCGCCGTTAGTGACCCTCGCACCGTTGCCCCCCGCATGTCTGCTTTTGTTCCTGCGCCCAGGCTAGACCTGGTCTCCGCACGCCTCGTCAGTCAGTCAGTCCTCCTCCTCCTCCTCCTCCTCCTCCTCCTCCTCCCCCTCCTCCTCCTCGTCCTCCTCCTCCTCCTCCTCCCTCCTCCCTCCTCCCTCCTCCCTCCTCCTCCTCCCCCCTCCCTCCTCCCTCCTCCTCCTCCCCTCCCTCCTCCCTCCTCCCCTCCTCCTCCCTCCTCCCTCCTCCCTCCTCCCTCCCTCCCTCCTCCTCCTCCCTCCTCCCTCCTCCCTCCTCCCTCCTCCCTCCTCCCTCCTCCTCTCCTTCCTCCCTCCTCCCTCCTCCCTCCTCCCTCCTCCCGCCTCCCCCTCCCGCCTCCCCCTCCCGCCTCCCGCCTCCCGCCCCCGCCTCCCGCCTCCCGCCTCCCGCCTCCCGCCTCCCTCCTCCCTCCTCCCTCCTCCCTCCTCCTCCTCCTCCTCCTCCTCCTCCTCCTCCTCCTCCGCGGAGACGCGGAGAACCTCGTGGCCACGATCAATGGTTTTCGAGAAGACCGCGTGGCCCCGAATCGCGATGGGATGTCTCGAAATCCGCGATTCCAAAAGGATCCGGCCTCCTACGGGAGGCCCGAAGAGAAAACCACGCGGAGACGCAAACCTTCGGAGCTTCGCGCTGGACTCCCTCGACCGGCGCTGGGAGACACCACGGCGGCGCCGCCGGCGCCGCGCCCGGGCGCGCTCCGCTCGCCAGGGAGGGGGGCGCATCGCCGATCCAAGGAATCCGCGCCTGTCCTCTTCGGTACAGCGAGTCGTGGCCACCCGCCGATGCATGTTTGCGGACCGCGGCCCAAGATATCCGAACCGCTTCCCGAGAGGTGGCCGCCCGTCCCAACTGCACTGCTGCGTGTTTGAGAACCACGGGGCCCGAACAGCTGGCCCGAGAGGCCGAACTCCAGGACGGGTGGCCCCGATGGCAGGAGCCAGATCCTCGGAGGACTGGAACTTGGGCAGGATCAGGTCGTCGGGCCCAGGATTAGGTCGCGCCTGTCCCCCATACAGGGGGAATTTGGACGAAAAATAAAAACATACTCCAAAAATGCCCACCAACTGGTCAAACACTGTCCAAAAATTGTCCCCAGACTATTTTCGGACTCTTTTTGAATATTCCTCGGAGGAGGACTATTTTTCGGACTCTTTTTTCGAATCGTCCCCAGACTATTTTTCGGACTCTTTTCAAACATTGTCCAAAAATCGTCCCCAGACTATTTTCGGACTCTTTTGGAATATGCCTCCTGTAGAGGGGCAGGCCCGACTCAGGCCCAGGCCTCGGAGGCGTGGGACCTTGGCATGCTCATCCCGGGCCCAGGATTCAGTCGGGCTTGACCCTCCGCAGGACGTAGACTCAAACATCGTAAGCAGAATCATATGGGGACGATGTTCTCTGCATTCGTTGACTCTTTTGGAGAATTGTTTTCGTGGGTGTCTTTGACCTCTCGTCCAAAGTCCCCCTGTAGGGGGACAGGCCCGACTTGAGCCCAGGATCGAAGTACACGCCCCCCTGCCGTGGCCACGAAGGCACGTATACGCCCACCTCCGGGGGCCGCGAGCCGGCCCTTGTCCCAACCCAGGGCAGCCCGGGCAACTGTGCTAGTGCGCAGGGCGGGTTTCCCCGCGCCACCTTTTCAAAATATCACCGTGCGCGCGCCGTCCCCCTCCTCGAGGGCGGGAATCGCGTCACGATGCGATCCGCTCAGGATGCGCTCAGCTGAGGGAACCGGGGGCAGTTCGAATATTGTGATGGTGGCATCTTGCTCATGTGATCCTCCGCGGGCGAGAACACCCGGTGTCGATTTACCTCCACTTCTGTGCTCATGCACAGTGCATATTCACCCCTAGTGCCACAGCATTTCTGTCATGACGCGTTCGCGATTCATTCTCGCTTTGCCTGGGCTTCGCCATCGTTCTGCAATCGCTTCAGGATTCGCTCGCGTACGTGTGCAATCAGAAGGGGAACGCACCGCGATGCCACACTGCTAGCGGTCGCAAACTCCATGCCCTCTTGATACAGTAGGCTGAAGACGAGCCATCTTTAATTATCGACCTTTGCCTCTGCTGCTAGCGGAGGCGCCCGTAAGTCAGCAGAGGGCATGGCCTGGTCGCCGTTAGTACGGTGGCGTCCCAGGCCAATTCGGGCCCCCCCAAACTACAATTAGGTCGGGCGTGTCCCCCTACAGGCGTATGTTGGACCCAACAAGAACAGATAGTCAAACATGTAAAAATATTTGAAATCGTCCCCAGACAATTTTCGGACGTTTTTCGAATGTTCCTCCTGCAGAGGGACACGCCCGACCCAAAACTACAAATGCAAAACGGCATGACCACTACGCGTTGGAGGTCCGCGCTGATTTCTTGGAGCGCGCCCGGGCGCGGCGACGGAGGCGCCGCCAGGGGGGCTCCAGCGTCAGCCTGAGAAGACCGCGCGGATCTCCGAAAAATTGTGTTCATGCCTTGTCTGCCCTTCGACGGGCGAGAGACAGCGTGGTCAGGACCCAAGCCCCTGCAAACGGGGTGCTTGTAAACGGGTTGTTAGCTAAGGGTGCGCTCTCTATTGTGCCTTCGAAGAATTGGCTTGCCGCGCACAAGTGCGAGGTAATCCCCCCCGCCCAGAGTTGTGAAGATGTGTCGACGAGTCTGTCGTCCCGATTTATCACGCACTAGTGCAAGGTAAATGCCCTGTCGCCCTGTACTCGCTCGTAGAGGCCCCATATCTGCCACCCCGCTCACCAACACCCCGTTTGCAAGGGCTTGGGGTCAGGACTTTGGACGCCCGAGATAAGTACGGAAAAGATTGGTACACATACCCAACAAGAAGTGGTGTCCAACACGGGCAGCGGCCGCTGTTGGGCAGGCGGCTTTTCGCCTTCCATGGACAACGTCCGCGGCGCCGACAGCGAGTCCTGTTCAAAACGCACAGAGACTGCTGTTGGGCATCGTACCCGTTCTTTCCGTGCTCCTTGCGACAGTCCCGAAGCGGAGTCAGGACCGCCAGCGCTCAACAGCTGCCTGCTCACGCCCCCGCCTGCTGCCACGCGCTGCCGGCCGGTTGGCGAAGGGGCGAGGCACGCGGGAAGCCTTGGCCGCCCGCCCAGGGAGAGCGGCGGGCGTCGTCGTCGTCGTCGCCCTCCTCTTCCTCTTCGTCGTCGTCTTTGGCCTCGTCCTCGTGCTCCTCCTCCTCCTCCTCCTCCTGCCTCCGCCCGCGCGATCCAAGAGCGGGCTCGGCCGGGGCCCGATCGGGCACACACTCAGGAGGAGGGGCAACGCATCGAGATGCCCAGGGACGCCCCTCCTCCTCCTCCTCCTCCTCCTCCTCCTCCTCATCGATCTTCGATCCTCGATCCTCCTCCTCCTCCTCCAACTCCTCGATCCTCGATCTTCCTCCTCCTCCTCGATCAGCTCTCCTCCTCGTCCTCGTTCCTGAGCAGGGTGGGGCTATCGGGTCCCTATCTGCGATCAGTGGACGACTGCGGGTCGATTGGCACCTCGATCGCGAGGCGGGGGGACGACGAGGAGATTGGTGGCAGCAAAAACAACGTGCGCATAGTTATACACGAGCGTGAACATATTCTACAACCACGCGCGGTACGCGCGCGCGCTCAGGTGCTGGTCGGCTCCAAATGCGTCAAAAGGTGCGTCGCATGTGTGGCCTCATCCTCTTCGCAGGACACATTGGAAGGAAAGAGCGGCGGAGGCGGGAGAGAGGAGGCCCAGGACAGGAGGGACGCGACAGAGAACGAGGTGGAGCAGGAGGAGGGGGCGGCCAAGAGGGAGGCGTCCAAGGGGCGGGAGGGGGGCGCAAGTCATGGCCGGCGGCATGTGCGTGACCCAAGGGGGGGGGGGGGTCGGGGACGTAAGAAATAGGAAGAGACGCAGTGAACTCTGAGGAAATGTCATGTCACACGCCATGATATCCCCCCCCCTAGTCATCACCCCCCTCTAGGCCGCCCCAGGCAGGAGGAGGGAGAACAACGTCGCGAATCGAACATCGAGAGAGATCTGCTGGCGCGTCTGGCCTGCTGTGCCTCCCGGGGGGCCCCCGGCGGCCACGGCCGGGCCTCCCCTGGAACGCCTGGGCTGGACGCCGGGACTGGGACCGAGGGCAGCAGCGCTCGTCGCTCCTAGACGGTGCTCTTCGGTTTCGTCGTGCTTCTCGTGTTTTTCCTCTCTCTCTCGGGGGCGCGCAGACATGGCTTAGCGATCCATGGATCTGGCGCGCGGTCGCCTACTCCATGGCTCGGGGGAGGTGCCCTCCCCAAAAGGCGACCCGTGCCGCCTCGCTCGGCGGCGGCGATCCGCGATTTCCAATGGAAACGGGACCCGTCGCTAATCCACGCCCCCTTGATCCATGTTTGCGATCGCCTGGCGTTTAGTCCTCGCTCCGCCTCGAGTGCAACACAGAGCGGAAAGACATAACGGCCCACGAGATGGCCAAAACACCGTTCAGGTCCAGCACTGGTCGCGTATCCCCACGCCCAGCGTGGGCCCCATCACGAACCCCTCCCCCTCCTTCTCCTCCTCCTCCTCCTCCTCCTCCTCCTCCTTCTCCTCCTCCCATCCATCCTCGGGGGACCTTGGTCTGTCCCGTCGCGGGTCTCATCAGCGTCGAATCCGTGCCGGATCCATGTCGGACTCATCGGAGGCGTGTCGAATCCGTCTCGACTTCGTGCCGCATCCGCGTCGAATCCACGCCAAACCCGCGACGAGTCCGCAACGAGGCCGCGTCGGGCACAGGAAAAGATACCAATTTTGGGGACAAGCGAGGTCCCCCAAAGATGCAACGTGGAGGAGGAACTGACCAAAACGCCATGTGCCCCAGGAGGAACTGACCAAAACGCCATGTGGTGAGGATTGGGGGCCCCCGTTGCCGTCTTTCGATGATCCGCAGAATGGGTGTTAGGACAAACTCGTGAATAGCAACTAAGGCCCTCCAATATCACGCAAGCGGCGCAATGAAGGCCGACACGGGCTGAGCCTGATCGGCCGAGCTCAACTGGGTAAGCACACACCGGGAGAACACACGCTCTGAGGAGCATCGAGTCCGTTGGGAATGCTGGGGCACGTTTGGGGATGCCTTGGGGAACTTTTGGGCGGTATGGGGGCCCTCTTGGGCTCATCTGTGCCGTCTGGGAAGCAATGGGGGTCCTACTGGCAGCAATTCTCCGCGGTCTGATGCCGTCCTGGAAGCGTCGAAGCGGCCTTGGGGTCCATTGTCGCGTCATCGTACCCTTCTTCAGATTCCTTGCGCTCTCTGTCACGAGAGGCAGGGGAGCGGCCTGGGAGGCTCCATTCCCAAATTCCACAAGCCATTCAAGGCGTCATTGGTTTAGGGAGTCTCCTCTTCCACGATCCCCCTTCCTCCCACTCTGGAAATTCCCCCGTCCCCCTGGGTCTTGAGGGGGGCGTTCGCAACCAGTTGGAGCGTCTGAAAAAGCTTCGGCGAGAAGACAACAATCATTGTAGCTACTGCAGTTGTGGACCCAGTTTGGCCTCCTGGGTGGACTCTACTTTGCTGACCACCACGCCTGCTTTGATCGACCTTCGCCAAAATGGCCCAAAGATGGCCCCAATGCTCCCAAGAGTGCTCCAAGGTGTCCAGGAGGCCCCGACAAACCCCCAACAGGTCCCAAAGAGGCTCCCGAGAGACCACCAAGAAGCCCAAAGAGGCTTCCCCGAGGCACCAAAGACGCTTCAAAATGCCCCCAGGACCGCCGCGAAGCCCCGAAGACAACCCAACATGCCTACAAGAGGCTCTCAAGAGACATCCGAAGAGACCCCGAGAAGCATCCAGAGGGCCTCTGGCCTTTCCGGTCGCCTTTATCCTCTTCCTCTTGCTCGTCCGCCTCCTCCTCCTCATCCCTCCTCTCCTCTCCCTTTCCCTTGTGTTGAACCAATTGGACGCAGCCACAGTCTCCAGCGTTGTAGGAAGCCGAGCAACAAGAAGAGAAGGGAGTCCTCCACCCCTCTCTTTTGTCCTCTGGATGCTGCGCCCGAGCACATCCTTTGAAATGGGATCCTTGCCCGCTGCCTTCACCCCTGGGCGAGCCGCCGAGGAGTAGGAGGAGGAGGAGGAGGAGGAGGAGACTAAGGGATGAAGAGCTATTCTTAAGTCGGGCCCGTCCCTCTACAGGAGGAATCTTCAAAAACAGTCAAACACAAATAGTCAGGGGACGAACGTTTGACTGTGTGTTTGGAATATGTGTGGAGTGCTTTTGACCATTCGTCCAAAAAATCGCCTCTGGGGGGACATGCCCGACCTAGAGCTATTCTGTTGAGCAGGGACCGACCCTCCCGGCATTCCTATAGTCCTACCACGAGCTGTTCTTAGAACCCGAACATGTTCTAATAACAAAAACCATGTCCATAGAACATAAGCTCGACGTGTTCAAACAAGACAGACTCCGCCAGAAATGTTATCTGAGAACATTTCGTGGGAACCACAGCAGGTTCTTAGAACATTTTTTCGGGAGCGGCCAAGAGGGGGGTGTCCAAGAGGGGGGGGTGCAAATCATGGCCGGCGGCATGTGCGCGACCCAGCGGGGGGGCCGGGACCGTAATGAAACAAGAAGAGGCGCCCTGAAATCCGGGGAAATATCATGGCCCCCGCCATGATTTCCCCCCCCCCCCTAGTCATCACCCCCCTCTTTGCCGCTCCCGATTCTTTGGTGGGGCTACAGGCGAGCCGGGACGCTTCGCCACTGGGGGGACACGCCCGATGTAATGAAATAAGAAGAGGCGCCATGAAATCTGGGGAGATCTCATGGCCCCCGCCATGGTATCCCCCCCCCCCTGGTCATCACCCCTCTCTTTGCCGCCCCCGAAGAACATTCTTTGGTGGGGCTATAGGCGAGCCGGGACGCTTCGCCACTGCTTGACGTGCCCGACCTGAAGCGGTTCTGGCCACGGCGAGCCCGACGTGTTCAAACAAGACAGACTCCGCCAGAAATGCACTTAGAACATAAGCCCGACGTGCTCAAACAAGACAGACTCCGCTAGAAATGTTCTGCGAGCATTTCGTGGGAACCAAAACAGGCTCTTAGAACATTCCTTTGGTGGGGCTATAGGCGAGCTGGGACGCTTCGCCACTGCTGGACACGCCCGACCGGAAGCTGCTCTGGCCACGGCGAGAGCCTCGGCCAGGAGCCAGCGCCCCGACCCGGCTCTGGCGAGCGGCCCCAGCAGCAGCGCCCCCCCCTTGGAGCAGGCACAAACTCTGTGCTGGGAGGTGGCTGCAGCTCCTGCCCCTCCTCCTCCCCCTCCTCCTCCTCGTCCTCCTCCTCCTCCTCCTCCTCTCTCCTCTCCTCCTCCCCCCTGCTCCTCCTCCTCTTTATCCTCCTCCCTCCTCCTCCTCCTCCTCCTCCTCCTCCGCCTCCCCCTCCTCCTCCTCCTCCTCCTCCTCCTCCTCCTCCTCCTCCTCCTCCTCCTCCTCCTCCTCCATCCTCTCTTTCCTCCTCCCCCATCCACCTCCCCCATTCTCTAGAGGAAAGAGAACCATGCACATATACCGATTTTGACCACGTCCATCCTGAGCCCAAGATCGGTGCATACGCCCTCCTGCCTCGGCCAGGAAGGCATCTGCACCGATCCTGGGGCCAAGGATGGGCCTGGCCAGGACAGGTGCATGTGCATAATTCTCTTCGCCCGATCCTCTGGGCCCCAGAGGCAGGAGTGTGAACAGCGCGGCTGTGCCCTCGTCCGCAACGACACCTTGACAACGCCTCTGGTGACTTGAGCAGGGACCGACCGTCCCGGCATTCCTATAGGCCTACCACGACATGTTCTGAGAACCTAATACTATTTTAGATAACAAAAGCGTTCTTAGAACATAAACCAGATGTGTCAAAACAAAACAGTCACAACCAGACATGTTCTAAGAGCATTTCGTGCAAACCACAGAAGGTTTCTAGAACAGTCTTCGGTAGGCCTACATGCGAGCTGGGACGCTTCGCCACTGCTTGAGTGATCGATGCCTGACGACGTCGCAGCACGGCAACCCATCGGCCCCGGTGCGTAGAGGACAAGACTGTGGAGCAAGGCAGGCTAAGCGCATGACCGGTTGGCTCATGTGGCCAAGGGGCGTCAGGCACGCCCAAGAAAACCTCCGCGAGGACATTCGCGTACGGGTCACTTTGGCGGGAGGGGGGGGGCATCGCGACGGCGCGGAGGCGGAGATGGGTGTTGAAATGTGCGATCGATGCGTTTTGGAAACTTGTTGTTGTTCTGTCACCCTTGCATGTCAACGAACGTGATGTGATACGTCAGCAGTGCGCGCAGGATGCGCTCTTTGAATCTCGCGCTGCGGTCTAGCCGATCGAGGCATCGGCTGGGTCGTCGTCGAGGTGCTATCCAGCAGTTGAGCAGCTGTACGAGCTGCTGGAACTGACTGGATCGCCCTGAAGTCAGACATTCGCGTGTCCCAGTGAGGAGAAGGGAGAGGACGTGGAAGGAGGAGGGTGAAGGGTGAAGGAGGGTGAAGGAAACAACGGAAGGTGAAAGCAAACGCCCACTCCCGCGGCCCATTCCTCAGCAACCAGCACAACGTGACGGCCGTGAGACAAGATGGTTAGAGCCCAGACTTTGCAAACTGGGCTCCCCCGAGTGCGAATGCTCGATTGCATCCTGCCTGTCCCCTCTGCCCGCAAGTAGCCATGTGAGAGAGGGGCGGCAAAACGGGCCGCTCGGACAGTCCAAGGCACACCTCAAGTGACTCAAAGGGTGGGAAATCGAGCGCGAGTCGTGCAACCCTCTGTCAAGATATAGAGATCGCCACGTTCTGGTTGTCCCGCAGAGCCGCCCACCCCTCAATATCGACCATGCACTCGCCGTCGCTCGGACGGCCATGCTCCGTGCATGTTTCGGTCGTATATCTTCGCCGCGAGGTGAGCCAGGATGCTCCTCGATGGCCCCCGCCAAGAGAAATGGCACACGTCCGAGCGATGGCCCTCGGCAAGAGAAATTGCTCCTCGATGGCCCTCGCCGGGATGCTATCTATGTTCCTCGATGGCTCGAGGAGCGAGACACTTGCACACGCCCGAGCGACGCCAAGATGCAATGCCAAGGGAGATCACCACTACGGGGGCCGCCACCTCTTCCAGGAAACGGACCCCCCATGAACCTCCAGAATCCCTGGGACGCCCAGGGACGCCCAAAGACGTCCAGCAGCTCTTTTGGCAGCGCGCAGAAGGCGGTAGGGGGAGAGGGGGAGGCTTCTTAGCAGGAGGCTACGTCTGAGAAGGCGCGGGCCATACATCTACACAAAGTCCGCACCTTCTAAGCAGGGGTGCTTCGATCCTCGGTCACCCCTCCTTCCCTTCGAACCTTGATTTCCAGGTAGGTGGTGAACTCCCTACTGGTGACTGCCAGTAGACCTGCTCTGACGGGTAACGATAGGGGGGGACCAGCTCAGGGCGGGGACATCGGGCTTGCATCGGCGATACGTGGCCGATACATCGGCAACAGGCCCTGATAGAGAATCTGGACGGATGGGCCAGGTGGGCTATCGGGCCCCTAATCGGCGATGAAAGGGCGTTGGCGGGACGATGCGCCCCCCCCGGAGTCTCCCCCCCAGAGATCCTGGCCGTCTGGTTGTCGGGTACCTCCGCCAGCCGTTCGGGACCATCGGGGCACCCCTGGACGCCTCTCGGCGAGGCGCAGCTGCTGACACGCACCGCGAGGCAAGAAAGCTTATGACCCGGCGAAAAAATGGGAAACTCCGAACGGCGCCCATCGGAGCCCCGTGAGCCGATCCCCTCCGAACGTTGCCCCATGCCCTGGCACTGCCCGAATCGACTCGCTCTGACAAGTGCCCTGGAATGGCAAAGGCCCGACGACTCCACTCGGCTTCCGCCACCCAAGGAGATGGGCGTGGCAGTCGTGCGGACGGGGACTGCAGCCCGTCCATTCCCTGGACGCCACGCGACGCAAGCAGGTCGTGCGGCCGCCGCAAACATCGTGCTACGAAAACAAAGGGCCACGCGAATGGCAAACCCACTGACTTTCGAAACGGGACACGGATTTCTTGGATCGGCGCTGGGCTACCCTGGCGGCGCATCCGGAGCCGCTCCTGGCGCGCTTCGCGGGCCACGAAGGGCGGTCCAAGGCAGATTCAAGAGATCCGCGCGGAGCTCCGAAAGTTCGTGGTTATGCAGGTATCTGTGCTTGTAGATACAGAGCGCGGCGAAAGACCCAACCATATGCAGTTACAAGCGTCGCGAGGCAGGTGGAAGGGAGGAGGGAGCCTGGCAAGAAGGATTGGGGCGTGGATGGGGACCCCAACCGACCAGAGAGGAGAGAGGACGAGGGGGGGAGCTGAGGTGCATCGGTGGAAGCAGACGCTACTGTCGTAGTCCGATGTTCCGCGGGTCGGAGTTAGCAGATTCTGCGTCACTTGGGCGTCAAAGCGGCGCCCTCGTCGAGCAACAACCCTTCCAACTTTGATGAAATCAAATATTGTCTTTCAGCTTGTTGAGGCTGTGCTTCCCAACTGCAGACGGATTGAGTGAAGGATCCGTTCTGCTCACGGGCGGTGTCGAACAGCGTTTTCCTATTTGATATCCTGAGATCTTTGCCCGCACGTCGTCCAGTCGAAGGTTCAAAGAATCCTGTCGTGCCGTCTCCGTGGGTGATGTGTAGAGCCCGCCGCAGGCCCAGGTGGGGGATCCGTGTAATCTCCTGTGCATGTACCATGCGTATCCCAGCGGCCTTGACGATCACCCACCACCAGGCCATGTCCCAGCCGCTGGTCGTGCTGGAGCCCGAACTGTCCCAAAATCGCTGTTTTTCTTGATGAGGCCCCAGCTTCCGTCCTGGCTCAGGCTCCAGTCCCAGCGCTCCCAATCGTCGCTGTCGTCCTGATCGTGTTGTTTCTTCTTATGCGTCTGCGGCTTCTGTTCCTGCGAGCCTCGTTTCGCTTCTGCCGAGTCGTCTGCTCGCTTAGACTTGGAAACCGCTGCCTGCCACGGGTCACCAGCTGGCACCTCTGGAGCCTTGACCGTCTCCTTGACTATCCCAAGTACTAGCTTCCGCAACTGTTACAATCACCTGCTGTGAACCCTGTCGCTCGGCGGCTGCTTTGTTCGGGTTCTCCTGGCGACAATTGTGTCTCCCCTTCGGTACTCATGTCGTTGCTCGAGGACCAAAAAACGGGATAACCATGATTTCTCGCGGATTGGCGCTGGACTCCCCCCTGGTGCCCGGAGCGGGCCAGGGGCGGCGCTGGAGGCGCCGCCAGGCGGCTCCAGCACCGATCCAAGAAAGCCGAGCGGACCTCCAGGAAATTATGCATTCGGCGGTGAACAAAACTCCCTTTCGTAAACCACCCTGTAGTGAAAACGGCCAGGACCGAAACCGACGGACCTGGACCTGCAAAACTGAGGGCCGCGACGCCCTCTCGCGAACCGAAAACGGCCAATTCGCTAATCGACGTGTCAGGGTAGTAGGTCTATCAACCTCCGATGTCTGTCCAGTTTTGCTCGTCTTCGAGCTGGCCGCACAGCCGCGCCTCAAGCGGGCGAGGCCGCGATAGTGTGAGCTCGCCAGCGGGTCTCGCACAACCGCCGCTGCCCGCTCGTGGTTTCCAGCCGGGTCGCGCTCCGCTACCAACCGTGGCAGCAGCAGATCAGGAGGAGGGGGAGGAGGGGGGGGAAGTCCAGACGGAGAGGGGGAGGGGGGGGAGGAGGGGAGGAGAAGGGGAGGAGGAGGAGGAGGAGGAGGAGGAGGAGGGGAGGAGGGGGAGGGGGAGGAGGAGGGAGGAGGAGGAGGGGAGGGGGGGGGAGGAGGAGGGGGGGGGGGGAGGGAGGAGGGAGAGGGGAGGGGGAAGGGGGAGGAGGAGGAGGAGGAGGAGGAAGAGGAGGAGGAGGAGGAGGAGGAGGAGGAGGGGGTAAGTCCAGACGGAGTCAGGTCCAGACGGAGACCGAGCACTCTGGACCTCCTTTTCAGAAACTGCGCTTCCCATCAGGAGAGGCTACGTGCAGGCGGAGTGCGTGCACACAGAGGCCGAGCACTCCGTATGGTCTTACACCGTATGGGCTCAGCTCATGGCATTCTTCGAAGAGGCAGCGAATGTGCTCCACTCGAGCCAAATCACAGTCAGCAGCCCAAATCCTCTGTGGGGACTGACATGACAAGCCTGACGTGATCACTCGCTACCCTGCTACACCAGCCTCCGGCGGCATCGTTCAGGCTAGCTGGATCGATCCAAGCAGGCCCTGGGGCCCTCCGGTACAGAGAAGCTGCAACCCCAGGCATCCGCCGATGTGTTCGCTTCAATGCGCGGCCCCGAGGGGTCATCGGGGGCGTCCAAGAGGGGGGGCGTCCAAGAGGGAGGGGGTGCAGATCAAGACCGGTGGCATGTGTGCGGCCCATGGGGGGGGGGCCGGGGACGCACTGAAATGAGAAGGGGCGCCATGACATCTGGGGAGAGATCATGGCCCCCACCATGATATCCCCCCCCTGGTCATCAGCCCCCTCTTGGCAGCCCCCGAGGTCAGGACCGCCCGCACCCCCGCTTTCCTTCAATTCCTGCCTCTGGGGCTAAATTTCGGGCCCGAGGAGCCTCCAACATGGATTTGCGGCGAAAGACTTCCCCGGAGAAGGGGTCGCGCATTGAACGAATACCATGGCGAAGGACCAAGCCCCCTGTTCACGTGTCAGATATGCGCCTGAGCACACGGAGGAATCTGCAGTACCCCTGAACGCTTGGCTGTTCTTCCTGGATGCACTCCCGATGGCCCCGGGGGCCGGGCACGGGCCCCCAGAGGCCGACAAAACATCGAGGGCACAAGAACACGCGTCGCCCGAGGTCCCCGCTCTCCAGGTCGCCGTCGACATCGTCGCTTGCCAGCGCCGGGGGGGGAGGTGGAGGAGGAGGAGGAGGACGAGGTGGTGGAGGAGGAGGAGGAGGAGGAGGAGGAGGAGGTGGTGGAGGAGGAGGTGGTGGAGGAGGAGGAGGAAGAGGAGGAGGAGGAGGAGGAGGAGGAGGTAAAGACAGCAAGCAGGTTGCCCCCCAGACCTCTCCCGGGTCGCGTTCTGGCCAGAAGTTGGCGCCGGGGGCCCTCCAGGTCGAGAAGCGGCATCGGTAACCTCAGAAGGTCTTTTATAGCCCCCCCTCCAGCCATGGGAAAATCATTATCCTTGCGCGGGCTAATTGGCTAATTGGCGGATTGGGACCCCAACAACACTGGGAACATGATTGTTCCCCAGCGGCGGCCACCGCTGATGATCGTAGGGGAGATGAGCACCCCGTATGGTGCTGAGGATGATTAGGGGAAGGGCGAGGAGGGGAGGGACGAGTTCAATTGCCACCCGAGAACTCAGGGGGGAATCATTAAAGACCTCTTGAGGTTACGTGTTCCTCCTTGTAGTCGTCGTCGTCGTCCTTTTGCTCGTCCTCGTCATCGTCCTTGTCGCCCTCGCCGCCGTCGCAGTCGCAGCATCCAGACAACCGATGTGCCGATGTTTCAATACTGGGTCTCTAGAGTGCTCGACCCTTCCCGACGACCAGCTTCTCGTCCCGAGTCGTCCTTGACGGCCCCGGGGCGCGGCGAGGGTTACCGCAGAGGCCGACAACGGCGCATGACCTCCGTCTCGATGTTTGATCAGAAAGCTGGTCGTCTGGGTCGTCGTCGTCGCCCCAAGAGCAGCCCCCGGGCCCCCAAGCGGCTCCCGAGACGCCCACAAGAGTCGCAGAACAGTGCAGAAGAAACCCACGAAGCCTCCACCGTCAATTCCCTGCCTCTTGTGGCGGTCGGCGAAAAGGCGTATGCCTTTTGAATAAGCTCTCGTAACTTAGGCCGGGCATGTCCCCCTACAGACGGATTTCGGATGAAAAAGAAAGAATCATCAAACAATGCGTCAAGACGGCAACCGCAAACATAAAACAAAACGTCCCCGTAACATGTTTTGACTATTTGGGGCTTTCTGTTCCTGTCGAGGGAGGCACGCTCGACTCCATCGTAGGCCCGCGCGGACTCCCCGGATCGGCGTTGGGCACCCCTCCCCGGCGCGAGGAGCGCGCGCGAGGGGCGGCGCCCGAGAGGCGCCATCCCGAGGGGGGCTGGGCGCCGATCCAAGAAGCCCCGCGCGGAGGCCCGGGAAACGATGCCTGCTCTCCGAGTGGCCATACCCTATGGGAGTCCGAGCTCATCATAGGTAACTGGTCTGTCGGACTCCCCTCCGTTTTCCACGGGCCTCCCCCCTTTATTTCCAATGCCTCCCCCCCCTCTTTTGCCAGTGGCCCCCCCTTACTTCTATTTCAAGTCAACGCTGGCTGATATTCAGTTTCTTGTCCATCGAGGAAAGGAGCTGAGGCGGGTTCACGTCGCGATGCCGTCGGCGGTTGCTGTTCTGCCACCATGAGGAGCGCATTCTTAATCTGAAGCGATCGCGGCTCTCCCGTAGCGCGGACAGTGTTCGGTAGGCCAGTATCGGTAGGCCTCTTGAGTACATTGATCGTTTGGGTTGTCGCCGTCACAGTCACAGTCGCAGTCGAAGTGGTCGGCGCCGCCGCCGATTGGCGGCGCGCAAACAGGGCTAGGGAGACGGGGGAAGGCTTCTCAGAAGGAGGCTGCTTCTTAGAAGGCGCGGGCCTTACAATGGGGGTCGATCCAGAAGAAACACACCGCAAGAAACCCAACCCTTAAATCTTCTGAGGTTTCCTGGTCCAGGGTTGGGTTTCTTGCATTCCGGCTGCCAACGAAGAAACCCAGGGCACCCTGGCCCAAGCAGTTCCTTGACTGATGGCGTCAAGCACTCTGACATCAAGAAGCCCAAGGCGATCGAAAGTGCGAGCTGCGGGCCTGGCACAAACAGAAAGGCCACGACTTCTCGAACCCACGTGGGCGCCCAAGACGCCCAAGAAACCCAAGGGTGCCCTGGCAGTTTTGCAGTCTCTTCGAGATTGCGGCGACCGTCCGAGCCGAACGCCAGGCAAAGAAACCCGGAGGGAACCCTGACGAAATGTAGGGTGTGTCTTGTCATGCCCCCCCCACTGTAATCTACAGGCAACGCCCGCGCCTTCCAAGAAGCAGACTTCTTCTCACAAGCCTTCCCCCCTCCCCCATACCTCCTCTGCGCACGCAGAGGCCTCCTAGATGGAGTCCGAGTAGATGGGGTCGAAGGTTCGCGCCGCATCCGCGACGTCGGCGTGGGAAACATTGGGCACCACATCGAGCCGCATCGTCCATGCATCGGCGATGCGGCGCGATCCTCTGACCCCATCAGCTCGGACCCATCTGGGATTAGGTCGGGCGTATCCCCCTACAGGGGGATTTCGGGCGACAAATAAAAATAGTCAAACATATCCAGAACATGCCCAAAAGTACAATACTATTTTGACTATGTTTGGACATTCCTCCTGTAGAAAGGCACGCCCGACTTAATTGTGGGAGGCCTCGATCAATCGAGCAGGGACCGACCGTCCCCGCATTCCTATAGTCCTACCACGACATGTTTTTAGAACCCCAAAATGTTCGAAGAACAACAACAGTGTTCTTAGAACTTGATCCTCCCCAGCCAGAAATGCTCTAAGCACATTTCGTGGGAACCACAAGCGGTTCTTAGAACATTGTTTGGTAGGGCTATAGGCACGCCAGGACGCTTCGCCACTGCCTCAAGGTAAGCGCCGCCGCTGCCGCCGGGCGCCTCTTGCTGGCGCCGGCGGTCGGGGCCGGCCCGCACAGGCCTTCCATGCCCGCGCCCGCGCTGTGCCCCGGCAGCAGCCTGCTCGCCGGGGGGCGCCGCGGACATCTTCCGGAAGGCCCTGCTCCCTCCTCCCTCCTCCTGCTGCGAGCCTATTATTCCTCCTCCTTCCTCCTCCTCCTCCACCACCTCCTCCTCCTCCTCCTCCATCATTCTCCTCCTCCTCCTCCTCCTCGGCGGATGCATTGCTGATCGGCCCTGGGTCAGTCAACTGCCCCTAGTGGCCGAAACCGAGGATGGAGGTCTGGATTGACAGACTCATACCGTCGAACACCCATTCTCCTCCTCCGCCTCATGCTGTTCGTTTCTTTCCTGCCCCGTTTCCCTGCCACACGATTTGTCTCTCCTCTTCCTCCTCCTGGTCCTTCTGGTCTCCCGTATGTTAGCCAGAGTGGGCCCCAAACAATTTGGTACTAAAAATATGCGTGATGCAATCTACGTGGTGTAACCCACCAGTGATCAATGTGAAATTGTCGATTCCACTGCTCGCGCAAACATCCCACCCACCCACCCGCAACTTGGTTTGCAAACCCCATGCGGCGGCGATTGCGATGAGTGCTTGGCGCTGGCTGGTGCATCTCTGCGGACAACCCGCGCCTGCTCGCGCGGGCCCAGCGGCCAGCTATTTTTGCGCGACCGACACGGCCGCATTGGCACTAATGATGGGCACCTCCCACCGGGCACTTCACTGCGAGTCGGCGGCTTAGGTGGGCGCGGTATCATGGCAACGTCGACAACGGTAGACACGATGATGATAGGAGCGGTACTGGTGACGATGTTGACAAAGACGCAGGCGCGGCCAGTGCGGGCGCCGATGCTGATCACGCCGACGACGATGATGGCGTCCTCGCGTCGGTGATGAAGATTTGGAAAAGAGCTCGGCATGCGCGCGCGGCCGACGCGCCAGAGTGGCCCGCATGGTATCATTTGACACGGATCGTGCCACCCCCAGCACGCGTGCAAGGGCGTGGGAATGATGTCGGCATGCGGCGCCAGAGGATTGGTTTGCAGAATTTCATGAACATGTTGAAACATGATCTTCTCAAAAATCCGCCAGAGCGCGAGCGCACGCTTTTTTGAAAACTGATCTTGCGAAGCCATAAGTCTGTGTATGTTTGTTGGGCACTGGGTCCTGAAATCGCTACAGGACCAAATCTTTTTGACGGATTCCGGCACGCGCGCGCGACGACGCGCGCGCACTTCGTTTCATGGCTTGCAGAAAGGATTCTCGAGACGACACGCGCAAGGGCATTCAAACGGTTTCGACATGCGCGCGCGCAAACTTTGTTTGAAAATCCGTGATGCGAAACCCTGTGCATTTCCAAACCATCCTGTGGTGTTGGGTCCTCGTTTTGAAAAGACAGCGCCCCGCGTCACCTCCTTCTCCTCACTCCTCATCCCCTTCCTCCTCCTCCACGAAGTACTGGTGATGTGCCAGGAATGGTGTCGGGGGGAACCTGAGTTGTTTTGGCACAGCCGCATGCGGGGGCCGCCACCCATTTCGGCACACCCCTCACATGGTTCGTGGCCCCATCGGGGGCCCCACCGAAGGCCCCAGTGGCACAGGTTGCACGCGGGGACCGCCAACCATTTCGGCAAACCCCTCGCACGGCTCGTGGCCCCAAAGGGGGCTCCACCGAAGGCCCCAGTGGCACAGGTTGCATGCGGGGACCGCCAACCATTTCGGCACACCCCTGGCACGGTTCGTGGCCCCACAAGGAGCTCCACTGAAGGCCCCAGTGGCACAGGTTGCACGCGGGGGCCGCCACCCATGTCGGCACACCCCTCACACGGTTCGTGGCCCCACAGGGAGCTCCACTGAAGGCCCCAATGGCACAGGTTGCATGCGGAGACCGCCGCTCATTTCGGCAAATCCCTCACGCGGTTCGGGGCCCCATAAGGAGCTCCACCGAAGGCCCAAAGGGCACAGGTTGCATGCGGGGACCGCCAACCATGTCGGCACACCCCTCACGCGGTTCGTGGCCCCACAGGGAGCTCCACCGAAGGCCCCAATGGCACAGGTTGCATGCGGGAAACGCCACCCATTTCGGCACACCCCTCACACGGTTCGTGGCCCCACAGGGAGCTCCACTGAAGGTCCCAGTGGCACAGGCCGCATGCGCCCGACGCCCCCACAATGCGATACGCGCAGCTGCAGATGGTTGGGTCCTTCGTCAGGCTAATGATGATATGTTGATTGACAATCGAGTTTGAAATCCTTACGCAACCGACGGCTTAACAAAAAAACAACAAAAAAACGGCATGCGCGCGACGACGCGCGTGTGTGCACTTCGTCCCATTTGTTGTACGGGATTCTTGACAATATATGATGTTTTGACAAACGAATGTGCGCCCTTGTCATTTGTTCCAAAGGGTGGCTGGGGGGGGCGCATGCCGGCTTGGCTGGGATCGAATGATTTCATGTTTGGCATGGGCGATGGGGCAGAATCATACGTAGATGGCAAAACGACTTGCAGTACTGAGTATGGCGGGGGGGAGTCTTAGCCTATTCTCTTTTGAGAAAGGATCGGGCGTTGGTAGAACTGGGTTTAGTGGAACCTGGTTTAGTGATCTGCACCAAGGGCGCCCCCCCGTCCCATTTCCACTAACCGGAACTGCCGTCACCCGAAAAAACACCAGCTATGGCAAGCGTGGTCTAATGATTCTGGCCAAGTCAACGGCTCCGGGACCCTACCCCTGACCGGGTCCCCTCACCCGGGGTCCTGGCCGTACCCGAAAGGAGAGCAGCCAACGTGGTGCCATCGCTGTGGTGCCACATGCGGCAGGGCGGCGGAGACGGCAGCGTGGCCGCCCAGATGGCGAGGCGGCGACGAGGCCGCGACGGGGCGACGGGGCGGCGACGGGGCGGCGACGGCGGCGACATGGCCGCCGGGCCGCCACCCGGGCCCAGGTCCTCAGAAGAGGAGTGGGAGCCCCAAGCAAGAGAAGCAAGAGCCCCCAAAGTGCAAGCACTGTATTGGGGAACCGCCAGCACTGAGATCCTCCTCCTCCTCCTCGTCCTCATCCTCTGTTCTCGTCTCCATCCCTTGCCTTCTGAGTCACTCCCCATCTTGTCGCACCCCATACACGTGTCGGTACGGTGGTCCGTGTGCGTATGCAAATCGGCAGCTGCGTTTGGATCGTTCTGTGTGCTGCTGCTACTGCTAGCTCCTTACCCCTTGTCTGTAAATATCACACCACGACAATGGTACTCGAGCGGTTCCCCCATCCACGGGAGCCGCTCCAGCCTGGCCGCGCCAAGCTATAGGCCTGCTGGTCTCTCTCGCAACGCGAATTCATCATCTGCGCGCTTGCGCGCCCGTGAATCGGATGCCCGACCCTCGCCATCAGCAACCAAATCAGCAAGACACGGAGGACAGCTTCATACCAAGCGGGGATGTTAACCTAGCGCTGTGTATTCAGTGCAACGAAGTGCGGGAAATACTTCTATTCATATCCACTGCAATCTGGAGTTCTGGGCTCTCTTCCCAAGAAACCCGAGGCGCACATGATATGGATAAAGTTGCCCCTTAGACGCCCGATGTTATCCATATTCAGTGCGCCTCGGCCTTGCGGCGCCCCTTCCAAGAAAGTCCAAGGCGCACTGAATGTGGATATTAACCTTGCCTGCACGAAGAAGTACCAATTTGGGGCTGAGGTCTGAATCTAGACGTGCAGTACTCCATTCCAGCCCGTATGACCAGGTAGCTCAACGGAGCGGCAAAGCGCAGAACACTCACGCTCAAAAGCGAAGACCTGCAGCCCATCCGCCCGAAGCCCGCTGTGCTAGATGAGGCCGACGAGGACGACCATCGAGCAGACCTGGAGGAGACAATTCCAGCAATCTGCGAGCGAGGCATTCGTAACCCGGTAGGGGGGAACAATCCGTGGACACTCACCCGCTCCCCCAAACTCAAGGTTGGCACGCGAGGGGGAGACTGCGGTCGAAGTGCAACTCATCAGACCCACCGCCAACTTTGAACATTATGGGGAGGGTGAGGCGTCCTTCTATGAATGCTTCCCGCGTGTTCCCTATTTTTACTCCGAGGCCTGCCTTATGGACGCTATCGAGGCCCTGTGCCCGCCGAGCACCACAAGCAAAGGCGAGAGACGATGGCCGACTTCTTCGAGACGACGGGGTGCCAAAAGAACCCCGGGACCGGGATCTCGGACTACATCCCGGTGCTCGACCCGGGGGTCACCCAGCTCGTTGAGGACGAGGTCCACCTCAACGAGGACTCCGACGTGCTCGGAGTTCATGCAGAAGCTCAACATCACCAGAGACCAGTGCGAGCGCCTCACGACAGCTCAACCAGACAAGAGTTGCAACCTACTAGAGTTTCAAGCTGCATCCGTGCGGATATCTGAGGATACACATCTTAGTGAATGTGGTCGACTGCCCTTCAAGCCCAAGGGAAACCCCAAAGAAGGTGGAAAAGGGCGACCACCACCAAAGCAGGTGAATGCCCTCGAGAACGACTACGAGGAGGACGACTACGACGAAAGAGCTGACCAATACGACGGTGGAGTCGAGGAGCTAGTCCAACGTGAGCTCGATGCTCTGGCCACCGAGCTCGACGACATCGACGAGAAAGAGATCAATTAAGAACAGACCGACGCCGTGGACAAAACCGCGGTGGGCCTCTCGGAGCTCCGAGAGGCCCTCGCAACCGTCCACCATGCACGTACAAATCTAAAGCGTGGGCGTTCTTTTGGATCGAGGGCTCCAGCGGTTGAATACTCATCGAGATGCCGAGGCGGAGCTCGACAATGTGGACACCAAGGTGGCCGATCAGGAGGTCGACATGCCAGACACCAAGGCATCAAGGACACACTCGACAAGCGAAAGGGGATTTCCAAGTGCAGACTACGTAACGAGTGGGGCAACTGGAATGGCGACCCAGAACGCCAAAGACCCTCTCAGGGGTCGCGGCCGCCAGCGCTGGTGACGAAGAGGACGAGGAGGAGTCTCTGGAGATCCTCGCGCTTGAGCTGGCCATCTAGTTTCACGTTCTCCAGAACGTGATCGCGTCCAGCCAGTCTCCCATGCACATTTAGGTCGGGCATATCCCCCTTCAGGCCGATCTTCGACGAAGAACGATGAACACATCTAGATGTACGTACATGAATAAATCAAAACAATGATGCAACAAATCTTAGAAGCATCGTCCCAAGGGTGTGTGCTGTCTTTGTCTTCATATTTCTCCAGTGGAGGGACAGGCCCGACTCAAAGTGTACAGGTCGAGTGCGGTCGACTCAGCCTGCGCCCGCCGAGCAGTGAGACGCCCATGGGGAAACACGACGATCACAAGGACCTTGGTAGGGGAACAAAAAGTGACATAAACATAACAACTCGGAGGTCCGCGCGGATTTCTCGGATCGGCGCTGGGGCCCCACGGCGGCGCCTCTGGCGCCGCCCCTGGCGCGCGGAGCGCGCCAGGGAGGGGGGTCCAGCGCCGATCCGAGAAATCCGCGCGGACATCCGAGTTGTTATGTTTATGTTACTTTTGTTCCCTACTTGGGGCCCTCGGCCTGGACAAGAAGGTGCCCTACCAGACGGCCAACGAAGGCATCAAGCTCAGCGACGGCGCCACGCGGCCAACTCCGCCACCCTCGCCACGTTTTCCAGTCGCACTGCGCGGCGTCAAAGCCTGCTTGCTGGACGTCCTGGGCCTCATGTTGCTTCCCGGACGTGACTGACTCGAGTCGGTCCATGCGAGATCGAGACTACACCGCCAAAGAAGATCACGATTGGCAACGGCAAGCTGAAGGCGCCGCTGTCGGTAGAAGGGGCCACGGTGCACCACGTGATGGGCCTGGAGCCCGGCTCATACCATGCGCTGCGTAGCCATGCCGAAGGCAAGACGTCAAGCACGAGCTGCCCCATCGGCTGCGGCCCCAGGCCGCCAAGGGGAAGCTTGCGTCGAGCATCCTGTCCCTGATTTGCAGCTCCCGCGCGGTCAGCAAGTCCGCTGCGCCGCCGCAGGACTTGAGGAGCTCAATGGCGCCAGCGAGGTCCAGCCTCGACCCTCTCGTGACCAACATTGCTACGTCCACGTGCTCGTGTGGATTGAGCACCTTGTCGAGGTGCGAACGAGATGAAATTAGCCCAGGATGCAAGTACAGCGTCGACACAGTCGGTTTCGCCAAGTTGAACTGGACGGCAACTGGAAGTTCACGAAGCGCGGCCAGCTGAAGCAGAACCTGGAAAAGATCACGAAAGCAAAGACGCTTCAGGATCACGACGTGGTCCCGATCCGAGTCAAACGACTCGTCCAGCTCGACCAAGCAGATCAAGTTCATGGGCAGGCCGTCGCCACCATGCGTTGGGGACGCCCGAGGAGCTTTAGCCTGTTCGAGCTGGCGTGCAAACCCAATATCCTACTCGGGGAGCAGTTCAGGCACTCTGGGAGCTCTGACAAGGCTGTTCGCATCCACCTGCCAACGTGCGACTTGAAAACGACAACGAAAATGGGAGGTATCCTAGTCAAGGTGCGTCGCAAAAGAAACAGCACGGTCCCGGTGGTCTGGATTTGCATCCCATACCTCTGCGCGGTGCACGTGCCAACGCCTCTTGAACTCCAGGACGCTGGCCCAAAGTGTAGGATTAAGCACGCGAGGCAGGATAACAAGAAGATGTTGCGGAACGTTTTCTGCCTCCTACGCGAGCTACGTTTGGAGTCGATCCCGACGGGCTTCGAGCTACCATTCGCGAACGACCCGAAGTTCACGCAGAAGGAACTCGCCCAGATCCACGAGATCATGGTGTTGCAGGCCGTCTTCGACGGCATCAAGACCAACAAGGGCAACAAAATCAGGAAGCGATTCCGCGTCCTGATCAGCCACTTGCGATTGGTGGGCAAGCTCTACAAGAAAGGCGACGGCAAGCATCTCGCCGCGACAGGCCACTAAACCGCGCCGCTGGTCAAGGCGATCTCGGCAAGACAGCGCGCAACACGGCAAGGCCGCAATGCTCCCCCCGTGGCCCATGCTCGCGAGGTCGCAGCCCGCGCCAAGAAGATCCTGGACGCCATGGATCCGGCAGAGCGGGCCCAGCTCGAGCGAGTGGCCAAGCTCGTGCACATCAACACGTGGCACCCGACCAACGCTACCTCGGGGATGGACAGACCCCCCTTTAGTAAAACGTCTGGAAAATAGCGGCTACGGCGCCCTCTCGAGAACAGAAAACGGACAACTCACTAATCGACGTGTCACTGTTGGGGGTTCTGTCCACACCCGATTACCTTGGCCAGAGCCATACACCTCCAAGGAGGCTCGACTGGGGCCATCGCCGCAGCGGAGGCCGACGCGTGCCCAAGCCGCGAGAGAGACGCCAGCATCACTACGCTCAACGTTTCGTGACTCTGGAGATTGCGTACAGTCATCGGCCTGACCTAAGGAACGATCAATCAGGAACGAAGCCCCTTCTCTCCAGGGAATAACGCATGAGGAACGATAAATAATAAACAATGCATCAGGAACGATAAATGGAACGACCGAGCCCCTTTTGAAAAGTAAGCGTTCCCTTTTCAAGCCGCTCACTGTACTTGCTGACCTCGTGATGCTTGCCGACGTCACGGCCACGCAGGCCCGGCTGCAGAACAACGTCGACACGGCTGCCCACTTCCAGCTGGTGGCGCCTCAACTAGACAAAATGGCATGCAGGGGAGCGGAAACGATGCGCGGTCAGATGGCGCCCCTGCCTCTGACTCCTCACGGGTGTACGCTGCACGGTGATATCGGAGCCTCCCGGACTTCGGCGCCGCCGATGCGACTGCGGACACATAGGCCGACTGCCGCAGCGAGCTTCCATAGCAAGCGCGCCACAGGCTGGCCAACACTGGCATGTGGAAATCGATGCGTGACTGCAGGCCGCGTACGATGGCCCGCACAAGATCTCGCCACGATACCAAAGGAACCCCGATACATTGTGCGCGGCTGGGGGTTTGAGCAAGGGCGGGTCGGCCCGCTGCCGGCGCGACAAACAGTTTCAATCCATCGTGATGAAGAGTGCTGCTCCACGGCTGCTCCATGGCTGCCCAATATACAAGCTGCCTAACTGCAGTTCGGTTTACTCCCAAGGCACCTCCCCCACATCGTTTAGATGTGCCACCCGTGCCTTGAATCTGTCGATCACCCTCCGCACGGCAACCGTGGGGACTGCCCCACCCACAAATGATGCAACGGCGCGCTGCGCCGCGCAACACGTGAAGAGATCACTGCTTCGCATGCTGTGCATCGTTGATACGTGTATCTCTTTATCCCATCGATTGCGGGTGCCCTCCAGCGGGCACTCATACGATGGGCTCGGGTGCATGCCAGCGTCGCCTTTCCTCTTTTGCTGCAGGGCCCCGACCGCCCGGTCTGTCAACCAGAACCCGGCCTTGTTCATATTCTGGCGCGCGCATCCAGGCTCGAACTTGTCAATCTGAAAACATTACTGCATCGAGCAGCATCGCCGATGAGTCGGCGATCAGGCGCGATCCTCATCTGGGAGGCCTAGAGATTTCCTCACGGTCGGCTCGCGCGGCGTCGGCACACGGAAAGGCTTTCGGCACCACATCGATCGTTCAACCTCGAACCGATCGCGGCCCCGACCGTTCAAAATGGAATTCCGTCGGGTCCAACGGCGTTGCCGTGTCCCTCGGTGCTTCCGCGTCTGCCATGCGGAGCTCAACCTTTAACGCCTTGGCCGTCGTCGCTGGCGCGCCATTGCCATATGAACTTACCGCAGGTCACGAAGCTTCACGCATCGCGCCCAACACTACGCGATGATCGGCCGCGGGAGACAGGAAGAGGGAGCCCGGATAGGGAGGAGGGGGAGGAGGAGGACGAGGAGGAGGAGGAGGAGGAGGAGGAGGAGGGGAAGGAGGAGGAGGAGGAGGAGAAGGAGGGTCGCGTCTTCGCGCCGCCCCACTGGAGCACGGCGAGCCGGAGTTCGTTTTGTCTTCGTTTTGTGTTCCGTTCGGCGTTGGTTTCTGACACCGCGGGGATCCTTCAACCTTGAACGATCGGCCGTTTGCGAAACGTCCTAATCGTTCCACATCGAACGAGTCAGTGTCGCCTGCGGCGTTCAAAGCTGAACGCCGCTGGCGGGGCCGCCCCTGGTCGACACAACACGAACCTACCGTACCTCCCTCCCACAACAAAAACAAAACGCAGCCGAAGTCTAGCAAAACAGCCTGCAGGTCAAGCCCTGGTGCCTGCACAGGTCTTCTTGCAACATGAGGAGGTGCAACTGGACCTAGGACAGAAGAACATCCTCAAAAGAACACGAGATCCTCTGCCGGCCAAAACACAGAATTATCCCAAAGTACCCTCCCCAAGGCGCACAAAAATCATCAAACAAATACGGAAAACACTAGGGTACCCTTCCCGAGCCGGCCTCGATCTTATACCTCGGTCCGATCGAAAAAGAAAGCAATAACTGCATCAACAAAAACTGGCGGCGCTCAGCGCAGACCCGAGACATATTCGTCGGTTGAGCATCACGGCCTGTACCGTGCAAGGGGAACCTGACATAATGCCCTGAAAGCCAGAGTCGCGAAAGACAAAACACCGTCAGAAATTTCAACTGACGTCCTAAACTGAAGGGGCCCCAGGACACACAAATAAATACACACAAATCAAAATATTCGCCATATTTTGCTATATTTTCTGGATTTTTGCCTTCCCCCCCACTCCCCATATTTCCTCATATTTTACTGGGAGTCGACGATGAATTGTGTCTGTGTGTTTTTTCACCTCCTGAAATATGTGTGCTGCATGTTTCGAGCCAGATCGATCTCTGATGGCAGCTGGGCCCGAAGCTTGGCAAACACTCCCCACGCGAAGAGATTGCAACGCCCAGATCTCAGGGAGGATCCTGACGAGCAGGGCGTCCAGATCACGCTTCTGATCGCAGAGGGGACGCGGGGCCTGGTGAGGTGATCTGTCACCGCCATCACGTCCATCGCCGAGATCTGTGCATGGTCGATCTCCTTTGCCGGAGGACGATGGAGAGGTGAGAGAATGAGGAAGTCATTGAGAAATCCCTGCCTGGCATATCCGCCACCGTGCCCCATGTGGGACGAGGGCAGGATGGTGGCAAGTTCGGATGAGGACACATCGGGGATCTCTGAGAACGGGCAAATCTGGATGATGTATCAGGGGCCGCGGTCGTTCAAGGCAGGTTTTCCTCAGACTCTGGCAACTACTTGCATGGAGGGGGCACCGTGGCGAGGCAGAAAGAGAATCTAGACGTCACGCAAGTCGAGACTCCCTTGCTCGCCATTTCGGCTGAGCACTGTTTGATTCAGGCAGTGGGGAAGAAGGGGGAAAAAGCCGAGAAACCTTGCCAGAGTCTAGATGAAAACACGCTATGTCAGAGCGCGCCGGAACGCTCTGAGAGCGGCCCGGCGAGACCCAGAGCGACGCATCCTCGTCCTACAATCGCTCTGCACCCAAGAAGGTACGCTGAAGGAGGAGCGAAAGGGGTATTTGCATCCCGAGGAAGGCACGCTGAGGAAGGAACGGGTGGGGCTTTCCCGAACACGGCGAGCCTCGGCCACGAACAGGGCCTCCGACCTGCAGCCAAGACGCTGCCCGAAAACCAGGGCCCCGCCTGGGCCCAAGGTGATCCTCGTTTCTCCGGCTGCGGCCGTATCGGGCCGGGCGAAAGGGGGGGGGTAGCAAAGGGGGGGGGTGAGAATCAGCTCACGCAGCTGATGTTCCTGGCTCTTCCCGGCGCCGGAAGGCGCCCATGTATCGAGGAATGGGCCCGGCGGCGGGGCCGAGACCAGCTGCATGCAGCAAATTTCGTCACCCCCCTTTCTCTATCCCCCCCTTTCGTCCGGCCCGACTGTAGGCCTGCCTGACCCTGGCATGAAATGCGCGTTTCTGCTCCACGTCATGCTGACGCGCACGTCTATCGCGAATCCGAGTGAGATTCACTCGCCGGTTTCCTGACCGGCCGGTGCTGCTCCTTTCTTCCGGGAGAAGGCACTCTAAGAATGTAGACGAATGCCGAGAGATGCTGAACGCATGCGTACAGATGCTGAGCGACGCCTGCCCGATACATGCAATGCCTCACTCAAAGAAGGGCAGCGATGACAACGCCATGAGAAAGAACGAAGCGCATGTGGCCCCATGATGCCGAGCCTCCGTCGAGCGGGACCGCCTGTGGCCGCTTCTCCAGGACGCTGCCACAGAAGGGTCCCGAGCCGACCCTCGTGAGGCCAGCGTACCATCGTGCCACCATTCGGAAAGCTTGGTGACCAGCGACGGGGCTTGTCTGGCCACTCGCTAGCGGCGAACGTATATGTTCACGCCCTCGCGGTCTGGACTCTGGGGCGCGATCCCGCGGATACGTTCTACACAGGCATCCGCCGCGTCGCGGCCCAGGGGTCTTGCTCGCGAGCTGCAGGTACGAATGATTTTGTTACCCACGGGCCACGGCGAGCCTCGGCCACGAAGGGGTTGCCCGACCTACCTTATATGTCAGCGTGTTCTGAAGGCCCGTGGCTTCGATCATCTCGGCCCAGCAAGCGCCAGCGTGTGGATGGCGATGTGGGCACGAAGGCCGAAACCGATGTGTTGCAATCTCTGGGGCGGAACTTCCGACACCGGACAGCGACGCCACCAATAGCATCACCAAAAGAATTCTGTTCTCCGTGCGATGAGGGCGAACGGTGAGATACAACGGCTGGGCGTTTGACCCGTGGCTCGTACGATTGGTAAGTAGTGAGTTTGCGCCAGCCTTCTGCCACCATGAAGACAATAGCGCACTGGCCACGCCCTGGCAGGCCCGCGCGCGACCTGCAACGTTTTTTGGGGGGTTAAAACAAACCATCAAATTGCGCTCGATGCATGACGGCCTGCTGCTCGAATGCTTCCACGCGCGAGCTGGAGCGACCATCTGGTGTCGCCGAAGGCGCCCAAAACCGCAGAGCCACGACGGCCCCACGAACCGTCCTGGGAATCCCGTCGGGAGCCCCCCCCCGCCATTTCGAAAATCCCGCATGCTGTCCCGCGAAGCCCGGATCGTGCCACTCCGCCAGTTCATACTCATACGATTCGCCTATTCATTTTCATGCTTGCGAGCGCCCGAAACGGCTCGGGATGTCCCCAAAATCGCTATTGGACGGCCCCCGAACCCACAGGATGGGCCGCGGAGGCCCCCGAGGAAACCTCACTGGAAGCTCAAAGTGGACGGTTTGCAAGGGCCTCAGGGGCCCGAGAAGTGTTTGCGTGGCTGAGTGCCTGTGTGGCCCTCTGAGGGTTCGTATGGCCAGGGGTGCGCTGGACCCTTTGCTTCTTAGAATGCGACAAAAGGGGGGGTAGCCTCCAGGAAGGGACCCCGACCCCCCCTTCATAGTCCATAGAATACATGTGACGGGCCTCCTGGGGCATCTGGAAATCATCCTTGAGGGGCTCGCCTGCAGAAGAGACCAAAATCCCCGCACTCTCCTAGCTGATAAAAAACCTGCGCCGAGCCCCTTA